AAGGTAGGATTCAATATAGAACATGAACTCTTCATGTTGAATATTTCATTCTACATTGATTATTTTGTTTATTTCAGAATAATAAAAAAAATTATTCTTCTCTCATTTGAGAGTTTCTTGTTCAGTTGTTTAAAAAAAAGAAAAAAAAGAAAAAAAAGAGAGAGAAAAAAAAGAGAAAAAAAAAAGAATAATTTTTTTATCCTCCTCAAACCAAAGGTAATTGCAGATTTTTATCAGCCGACCAAATGTAAGTGCTTTACTTCTTATCTGCTTTACTTTATGCATCATAGAGTTTGCATTGAGGACAATGCAAAATTTAGGTGTGGGGGTGGGAATTAGTTATTTTTTCTCTTTATTTTACATTTTTAGTTACATTTTCCCCCCTTTTTCTTAAAAAAAATTATAAAAATATCTTCACTGCCAAATTGATGGAGTTATGTAATAATTGATTTAGTTGATAAATTTGAAATTTTCTAATCCATTGTTAGTTATTTACTTAAGTTCACCTTTCCTTTTATGATAACTCTAAATAAATTTCTTAAGAAATGATTTTCAAAGTAGTATACTTTACTTAAGCCTTAACTTGGACTTTTATTTAAAATAATGAAATTTTTGCATGCTTAACTTAGAGTTGAAAATAATTTTTTTCAAAGTGTCTTGATTTACATATTTTCCAAATATATATACATATACAAAAAAAAAATTGCAAAAGAAGAGTGCGAAAAATGGGCACCAAAAGAAAAGAAAAAAAAACTCTTGAATTCAAGGTGATTCTATCTTATAAAGCCTAAGCTGACCGAGTAATTAAGCCCAAGGAGTATTTCCATACTTAATGACCTAAGCCCATTTGGGTTGGGATCCATTGGCCCAAAACTCGTTAAATTGTCACTTAGAAAGCCCGTTAAAGTAGAAAAAATCACCAAGGAAGAAAGAGTTAAAAAAATTAAAAAAAAATTAATAAATATTTTATAGTTGTATATATGATCTTAGAAAATATTTTAAATCAAGCAACTTGAAAATTATTTAAAACAAAGAGTTATCATGTTCTTTTCAAAACTTTTAAATTAAATTTCTAAGTTTGGCTTGGTTTTGTATTGCTACAATGAGAAGATTTTCTTGAAAATATACCTTAGAGTTATATATAAAAATATTTTCTTGAGTGATAACTGGCTCCAATTAGATTATCTAAAAGTTATCAAGTGAATTTAGTTATTTACTGACTTCTTTAATTTGGCAAGTTGACCGAATTTTATGGGTATATTCACTGCAAACCCTCACGAGACTACAACTCGTCCACTAGGGTAACCTAGGGGTTTAAAGGCTTGTTGTATGCGCTAAATACAACCGCGATTCCTGCGAAAGTGAGTTAGGATTTTCTTTTTATTTTCTTTGCTAGAGGACTAGCAAAAGTTTAGGTGTGGGGGTATTTGATAATCACATTTTATTATAATTTTATACCCTCATTATCTATTTTATATGAATAAATACAACACTAATAATTGCTTTTATCTTTAATTGCAGGTTAATAAAGAATAAATCCCAAAAATCCCATCACTCAACAAAGACCCTTAAGTAAATGAAGAAATAAGAGAAATTCAAATAATTGAATTTTAAAAGGCCCAAAGAATTGGAATGGACTTGGATGCAAAGAGTGAAATGAATTGGGCTTTTATGCAATCATGACCGGACTTAGACTTCTGCAGTTTTGAAATATAATCACAAGAAAATCAAGTGGACCTCTCATCTTCAAGGACCGGACTTGAATTGATTTTTGAAAATCACAGCAAAGACCGGACTAATGTGGACTGCTGGAGTTGAATTGGGCCGGATTTTCAATTTCTATGTTTAAAATCATGGGAAGCATCAAATGTGGACTTGCTGCAGAAGTGGGCCGAACTTTGATATTTTATTTTTGAAAACCACCGGACCTGCTGACTTGGGCTAGACATTAGCTTTGATTGAGAGATTTACACTTTCATTTTTATCATGGGACCGGTCTTGATGTGGGCTGCAGCTTTGGATTTGTTGACCGAATTTGTTGCTGAGATGGGGATTTTGGTTTCTCAAAGACCGGACATGGACCTGCTGCATGCAAGGAGTGGGCGGAAAATCATATGAATTGGGCCAGTTGCTTATTGACTTGGCTTGGATTTTCAATTATCAAATGAATCATTATGTGCAAATCACCATGGACCGGACTTCACCTTGCTGCTAAAAATTGGATTTTTAAATTTCTTTTGAAAATCAAATAAATCAAAGGTGAAGATTGTTACTTGGGGCTCAAGACAAATCCAATGGCTCATATTCATTAAAGATTACTATAAATAGGGGTAGAGAGTGAGGGGTTAAGGGTGTGAAAATTTTTGTAACTCCTTTTGGAGAGGAGGGCTACTCTTAATTGAGAAGGCCTTCCAAAAATTGTAACTTTAGTTGCAATTAATAATAATAATTTTTTCACCACTTTAAATTTTTCTCTTCTTCTCTTTGTTGGATGATGAAGATGAAGATGAAGATGGAGAATTATTTGAAGGTTTGCATTTCTTTTCTTTTTCTCTTTTATTGCTTATTAGTGTAGATTTATTTCTATGCTTGTAGTTTAGATTTTATTTTCTTGTTAAATAGCCAAGAGGCTAGAACCCTCTTGCCTTAAATTTATTTCATGCTTATAGAATAGATTTATTTTCTTGCATTTAATTCTTGCAATTTTATTTTGTAGTTTAGATTTTACAATTTATTTTGTAGTTAGATTTTAATTTCTTATACTATTCACCTTGAGGCTAGAACCCTCTTGGGTTTAGTTTTTCTTTTTGTTTATTTTTATTTTGTTTGATTCGCCTTTAGGCTAGAACTCTCTAGGGAATCACCATTTTCTAAGAAGTGAGTTCAATTTTAGATTATCCATATCTATAATTGAATCCACCATCTGTAATTTCTTGCATTTTGTTTTATTCTAGAATTTTGTTCTTCATTCTTGATTTTTTATTTGTTTCTTGATTTTATTCATTTTTTCCTTCTCACCTTATTGATCATACTCATTTCTTTTTTAAATCCACTCTCACTTACACTTGCACCTATTCACACACCATTTTCACTCTCTCAATCTCTTTACAATCAAATTCACTTATCACTCCTACTTGTCACGCACACAACATAAGAACCGATTTTATATTTTCTCCTACAAAACACCTTCCTCGTGGGATCGATATCTTAAATACTATAACTTGACACGGTTGTGCACTTGCAACCTTTTTGGTACATGTTTATGCAGCATCATCACTTTACACTATTTTCACAACTACAAACAAACAATTGAAAGTGATGAAAGCTGACATTGGGACCCACTTTTTTACACTTTCCATCATTTTACATGGTAAAAACATACAACCAAACAGCCCCTAAGTGAATTCAAAGAATGGTGGTTTCCGAATAACAGTCATTTTCAAAAACAATAATGATTTTATCTCGTGGTCTAATCTCATCACTTAAATTCGAAAATATCAAGAGCTAGGTACGATCTTGAACAATAATCAAACTACATCCCAGATATAGCGTTTTTTGCCCGAGTGAATTTAGAGAATAGTGGTTTCCGTAAAAATAATAGTGATTTATCTCGTGATCTAATCTCATCCCTTAAATTCCGAAATATAGCCTCTGCTCTCAATCTAGTGTTGAGTTGCAGAGTGAGAGCATCATTTAGAGAAAATTTTAGAGTGAATTCGATGGTGGAGGCGAAGATGTGACGCAGCGTGGAAGTTGTAACATCGGAATCCACCAAGGGTGTTCTTCGAATCCACAAAGAACGATCTTCGAATCCACGAAGAGCTTCGAATCCACGAAGAAATATTGAGGAAAAACAAAATTTTATTAATCAAAGATATGCCTCTAGGGCTTACAAGACTATTCTTAAATAGAAAAAGAAACAAGACTCCTACAAGGACTCTAATTCCTACAAGGACTCTCAACTTAACAAAAATGGTAAAGAATTCTTAAAACATTAAAACTCCTAAAAAGACTCCATATGATTAGAAAAGTCCTCCGGTCAAATCTGAGATCAAATCGGATTTGTTTCCTAAACAAAACAGACTCCTAAAATATTACTAAAAATAGTAAAAAACGGACAAAACTGCAAATATCTCTCAATCCGTAAGGAATTTGGCGAAACTGAGAACGCAAACCAAACCCAAAGGGGTAGGTTTGGATGGCTCCGTCTCGTCGAGATAGTCGATTTTCATATATAATTCGTCCAATTCCGACGTACGGTTTGAAAGTTACGACCGTTTCTTCGAAACAAGTTATTTTCTTCGACCAGGCCCGTATTTGGGCTTACGACTGTCCCACTTTGACATAAACGTGTCAGATAAGTGTTCTACATCAAGATGGGAGCCTCAGACTTGTGGATGGAGGATAGAATTTAAGGACTTGCACTTACATATCGGAGGGTATCAAATTAAGGAGAACATGCTTCAGTTTGATCTCAGGAATCAGAAGTTAGGATTTAGTTCTTCTTTGGTTTTTTTTGGCAGACAACGATGTGCGAACTTCAATTTTACTGGCAAGACAGGAAGGGATATTGGGAGGTGATTGTAAGGGGATTTTGGGAGGTGATTGTAAGAGTGTGTCGTGGTTTCTTGAGATCATGGACGTGAGATGTTTTTGATCCTTCAATATTAGTTGTAATGGCAAGTTGGATGCAGCGATAATATATAGGTGTAGCTTTTTTGGGTTTAGGTTATTCACTTTTAGCTACATGACGTATAAATTAAATGTACGCGTATATCGGCAGTTATGCTGGATTTTTCAAGAAATTGAATTTGGAAACTAGAATCCAAGTCACCTTGAATGCTAGCCCTTGGAATCTGTACAGCTTAAGGCTTGGCTTAATTTTGTTGAGATAATCCCAACGAGAAAGCATCAGTACACCTCGACTATAAGCAGCGATAGGGCATCAAAGTAATATCAAAACTTGAATCAGACGCAAGGGTAATTGCAATCCCGAACCAATGGAGGCTGGAGCAATTGAAGTTCTGACGAACAAGATCTCTCACCATTCGTATTTAGCTGCTCAGGTCAGCATTTCCTTATCCTGCAACTATTTCCTAACAGTAGCAGTTGCAACTCATTATGTTCATCCTTATTTTTGGTTTCTTATTTCCTGTGCAATCTTAAGGTGTTACATGGCACTTTGTTATTATTGTATTTACATAACAGTTGCTGGCTGCGACCTCTCTAGTAACATTCAGTCTTTCTATAACTAACTAGGAATTAATAACTGCAGTGTGACTCTAGAGATGACAACAGTGCATGGGTTTGTGCCTTGCTGCTGGCTGTCCTTTTCCAAGAGAGAGGTATCATACGCTCAAATGGAACAATGAACTGCATTCCAGTTCTTGCAAGTTTGTTGAGGTCAGAGGAGTTAGCAAACAGATATTTTGCAGCACAAGCACTTTCTAGCTTGATCTGCCATGGTAGTCGAGGGACTCTGTTGTCTGTTGCTAATTCTGGTGTGGCTGTTGGGCTTATTTCTTTACTTGGATGTGCTGAAAGTGACATCTCTGATCTTCTGGAGTTATCAGGTGAGTTTTCCCTGGCTCGCAATCCCGACCAAATTGCACTTGAGAGGTTGTTCAGAGTAGATGACATAAGGGTGGGCGCAACTTCTCGGAAAGCCATACCTGTACTTGTTGATTTGCTCAAGCCTATCCCAGATCGACCAGGTGCCCCTTTTCTTGGATTGGGTCTTCTAACTCAGCTCGCATTAGAGTGCCCTTCAAACATGCTGGTAATGGTAGAAGCGGGGGTCCTTGAGGCCCTAACCAAGTATCTTTCACTTGGACCGCAGGATGCAACTGAAGAAGCTGCGACAGTTTTATTGGGCATCCTATTCAGCACTGGTGAAATAAGGCTGACAGGAATCTGCATTTGGTGCTGTTAATCAGCTTGTTGCAGTCTTAAGACTGGGAGGAAGAAATTCCAGGTATAGTGCAGCTAAGGCATTAGAAAACTTGTTTTCCACAGATCATATCAGGAATGGTGAATCAGCTAGGCAAGCTATTCAACCTCTTGTGGAGATTCTTAATACCGGTTCTGAAAAGGAGCAACATGCAGCTATTGCTGCGCTTGTTAGGTTGCTTGGTGATAATCCATCAAGAGCCCTTGCTGTTGGTGACGCTGAGATGAGTGCAGTTGATGTTCTTTGTCGAATTCTTTCTTCCAGTTGCTCAGTGGAGCTGAAAGGCAATGCTGCAGAGTTATGTTTTGTCATGTTTGGAAATACAAGGATTCGGTCAACAATGGCTGCAGCGCGCTGTGTTGAGCCTTTGGTTTCTCTACTTGTAACTGACTTCAGTGCAGTCCAATACTCGGTGGTCATCGTGCATTGGATAGGCTCTTAGATGACGACCAACTTGCAGAGCTTGTTTCTGCACATGGCGCTATTGTTCCTCTAGTCGGTCTGCTGTTTGGTAGAAATTACACATTGCATGAGGCAGTTTCGAGAGCTTTGGTGAAGCTAGGAAAAGATAGGCCAGCTTGTAAAATGGAGATGGTCAAAACTGGAGTTGTTGAAAGTATTCTGAACATCGTCCATGAAGCACCGGATTTTCTCTGCGTTGCATTTGCAGAATTGCTACGAATTCTGACGAACAATGCTACCATAGCGAAGGGCCCCCATCTGCTGGGAAAGTTGTTGAACCCCTTTTCTTTCTGTTATCTAGACCAGAAATTGGTCCTGATGGACAGCACAGCGCATTGCAGGTTCTTATTAATATTTTGGAAAATCCCCAATGCCGAGCTGATTGCAACATGATGCCTCAACGGGCTATTGGACCTATAATTGCTTTACTGGATTCACCACTCCAGGCAGCGCAACAATTGGCTGCAGAACTCTTGTCCCATCTGCTTTTGGAGGAACATTTGCAGAAGGATCCAGTCACAGAGCAGGCAATTAGTCCCCTTATTCATGTTCTTGTTGGAATATCAAATTAAAATGCTAGAATAAATGAGTTTTAGAAGTGCAAGGGTCATAAGTTTAGAAGGTGAAGAGACATATGTTATGGAAGAATAAGAGTAACTTACTCATTTATGACATTTATCTTTATGGCATTAAAATAGGAGTTTAATTTGTGACTATTGGTATGCCTAGACGTTTTTGTTTTTGAAGCCTATATAAAGGGCTATTGTAATCCTTGTTTGATATGAAGAGAGAAAATTGAAGAAATATAAGTGAGTTCTTCATTTGAAAGAGTTCTAAGTTCGTAAACTTAAGAGTTATCAGTGGTATCAGAGCCACTTTATCCAATTTTCCTATTCACTCTTCTTCTCATGGCTACCACAAATAATCTTGTCAATCCTCAAGTGCCCAAATTATTGAAAGATAACTATGAGAGTTGGTCAATCCAAATGAGAGCCTTATTTGGTTCTCAAGAGTTGTGGGAGCTGATCATTGATGGGTTCACGGAACCTACACCAGAAGTAGAAGCCACCTATACCGCCGAAGAGAAGAAGGCTCTCAGAGAACAAAGAAAGAAGGATAGCAAGGCTCGTTTTCTACTCTATCAAGGGTTGGACGAGTCTACCTTTGAGAGAGTTGCCGAAGCAACGACAAGCAAGGAAGCATGGGAAATCCTTGCGAGAAATGGAGAGAAGATGGAGGACATCCGAGTGATGGAGAAGTTGCTCCGATCCCTCACATCAAAATTCGAGCACGTGGTGGCGGCAATTGAGGAGTCAAAGAATTTGGAGGATATCTCAATAGAGGAGCTCTTGGGATCTCTCCAAGTTCATGAACAACGAATGCAAAAGAAGGCTAGTTCCATAGTTTTGGAGCAAGTACTAGAGTCAACATTAACTCTAAGTAATCAAGGCTCACAAGGAAGAGGTCGTGGTCGTGGTAGAGGCAGAGGACGTGGTCCCCAACAACAAATCACTCAAAATCAAGTGGAGATCCAAAGCTTTAGAGGACGAGGACGAAGCAATCGTGGAAGATCCACACCTGGCCGTGGAAGCAACAAGAATGTTCAGTGCTATAACTGTCACAAGTTTGGGCACTATGCTTCAAATTGTTGGCACAAAACTGAAGACCAAACCAATCTTGCCGAAGCAACAAGTGATGTGGGTAACAACTCTACGCTTCTTCTTGCTAATGGTGATTCAAGTGTTGAGAATGATGCTTGGTACCTTGACTCGGGTGCTAGCAACCACATGTGCGGGAAGAAAGAACTTTTCATGGAACTCGCAGAAGGAGTTCATGGAAGTGTGAGCCTCAGAGATTCTTCAAAACTCTCGGTTGAAGGCAAAGGGAAGATTAAGATCTACCAAAAGGATGGTAAGCCCGAATATATTTCCGATGTTTACTATATTCCTAACATGAAAAGTAATATTCTTAGCATCGGTCAATTACTCGGAAATGGATACAAAGTATATATGGAGAACAACCATCTTTGGTTGAAAAATATAAATGGAGGCCTCATAGCTTGTGTTAAGATGACAAGGAACCGCATGTTTCCTTTGCATCTAAACACGAAAGTCGACAAGTGTTTTCAAGGACTCATGGAGAATGAGTCATGGAGGTGGCATCTTCGCTTCGGCCATCTAAACTTTAGCGGTTTGAAGTTGTTGTCTACAGCTGGCATGGTACGAGGTCTACCAACAATTGATCCACCGAATCATCTTTGTGAAGGTTGTGTAATCGGCAAGCAACCGCGACTTCCTTTTCCCAGTGGAAAATCATGGAGAGCAAGTGTACCATTGCAACTTGTTCACACCGACATCTGCGGACCGATCGATCCCGTCTCTTTGGGAGGTAATAGATATTTTATAACTTTCATTGATGACTTCAGTAGAAAGTTGTGGGTGTACACTCTTAAAGAAAAATCTGCTGCCTGTACTACATTCAAGCATTTTAAAGCTTTAGTTGAAGCAGAGAGCGGCCACAAGCTAAAAAAATCTTCGATCTGAACGAGGTGGTGAGTACACCTCAAATCTGTTTCAAGAATATTGCAGGGAGCAAGGTATAAAAAGACAGTTTACTACTGCCTACACACCACAGCAAAATGGCATTGCAGAAAGAAAGAACCGGACCATCCTCGACATGACAAGAACCATGCTCAAAGAAAAGGGATTGCCAAAGCAGTTCTGGGCAGAAGCCGTGGCATGCTCAGCTTATTTGCTCAACCGATGCCCCACAAAGATAGTGAAGAACAAGACACCTCAAGAGGCATGGAGCGGTTACACGCCTAGTGTAGCACACCTACGAATTTTTGGGTGTGTTGCATATGCTCAAGTAGTAGAAAGTTGTGGGTGTACACTCTTAAAGAAAAATCTGCTGCCTTTACTACATTCAAACATTTTAAAGCTTTAGTTGAAGCAGAGAGCGGCCACAAGCTAAAAATTCTTCGATCTGACCGAGGTGGTGAGTACACCTCAAATCTGTTTCAAGAATATTACAGGGAGCAAGGTATAAAAAGACAGTTTACTACTGCCTACACACCACAGCAAAATGGCATTGCAGAAAGAAAGAACCGGACCATCCTCGACATGACAAGAACCATGCTCAAAGAAAAGGGATTGCCAAAGCAGTTCTGGACAGAAACCGTGGCGTGCTCAGCTTATTTGCTCAACCGATGCCCCACAAAGATAGTGAAGAACAAGACACCTCAAGAGGCATGGAGCGGTTACACGCCTAGTGTGGCACACCTACGAATTTTTGGTTGTGTTGCATATGCTCAAGTAACTGAAGTCAAAAGGAAGAAGCTTGATAATCGCGATGAAAAATGCATTTTCATCAGATATAGCGAGGAGTCAAAGGCATACAAGCTCTACAATCCACTAACCAAGAAACTAGTTGTTAGTAGAGACGTTGTCTTTAATGAAGAAGAAGCATGGAACTGGAGCAATGAAGATCAACCAGTGGTGAATGAACCCGATGAGTCTCTGCATGAGGAACCATCACTAGGTACACCACCATCTCCTCCACACTCTACACCCTCTCCTGCAAGAGGATCTCCATCTTCTGGGGAAGGTAGTAGCAGCAAATCTACCATGCAACGAGGTCCCATCAAAATGAGAAGCCTCAGGGAGATCTATGAGCAGATAGAAGAAGACGAAGAGTCAAATCTTTTCTGCTTATATGCTGATCATGAACCTCTCACCTTTCAAGAAGCCGTAAAAGAGGATTGTTGGCGAACAGCAATGGAGGAGGAGATCCACGCCATCCAAAAGAATGACACTTGGGAGTTGACAACTCTTCCACAAAATCACAAGGCAATAGGGGTCAAGTGGGTGTACAAGATCAAGCGCACAGCAAATGGTGAAGTTGATCGGTACAAGGCGAGACTTGTAGCGAAAGGTTACAAACAAAAGTACGGCATCGACTATGGAGAAGTCTTTGCTCAGGTTGCTCGATTGGATACGGTGAGACTATTAATTTCACTTGCAGCTCATCACAAGTGGAATATATATCATTTGGATGTCAATTTAGCATTTCTCAATGGCGTTCTTGAGGAAGAGGTCTACGTGCAACAACCAGAAGGCTTTCTTGTGAAAGGGTAAGAAGACAAAGTGTACCATTTGAAGAAAGCCTTGTATGGCTTAAAGCAGGCACCACGGGCATGGAACGCCCGAATTGATGGCTATCTTCATCAAAACGGCTTCATTAAATGTCCCTATGAACACGCCATCTACATGAAGAGGAACCATAGAGGCGAATTTCTAATAATTTGTCTTTATGTTGATGATTTATTGTATACAGGAAGCAGTACCGAGATGCTTGCTGAATTCAAGGCGGAAATGTTTAATGAATTTGAGATGACGGACAATGGATTAATGTCCTATTTTCTTGGCATTGAAGTGAAGCAGCAACAAGAGGGGATTTTTATATCCCAGAAGAAGTACATGAAGGAGATCTTAGAGAAGTTCAAGATGAATGAATGCAACCCTGTAAACACCCCAGTAGCCATCGGAATGAAGCTATCAAGAGAAGAAGACGGACATTTTGTGGATTCAACTCTTTTCAAAAGTCTAGTTGGCAGCCTGAGATACTTGACGATCACAAGGCCCGATATTACTTATGGAGTTGGACTTGTGAGTCGCTATATGGAGACACCGAATGAATCTCACTGGCTAGCTGCGAAGAGGATACTAAGGTATATCAAAGGCACACTCAACCTGGGTCTCTTCTATGCATATGATGAAAATGCACAACTAGTTGGTTACTCAGATAGTGACTGGGGAGGTGATCAAGATGAGAGAAAAAGCACCACAGGCTATGTTTTCTATCTTGGGTCAACTGCATTTTCATGGACCTCAAAGAAGCAAGGAGTTGTAGCTTTATCTTCATGTGAAGCAGAGTATGTGGCGGCTGCATCTACAGTATGTGAAGCAATTTGGTTGCGAAACATATTAAAGGAGTTGGATCATCCACAAGAAGACTCGACTGTAATTTTTGTGGACAACAAATCAGCCATCCAGCTTGCAAAGAACCCAGTACATCATGGGAGGAGCAAACACATAGATACACGGTTTCATTTTCTCAGAGACCATGTAAAGCAGAAAACCATTGAACTGAAGCATTGTCACACCACTAAACAAGTGGCAGACATATTCACCAAGCCATTATCAGGTAAAACTTTCATGAGGCTAAGAGACATGCTTGGCTTAAAGACATTTTGATTTGAAGGGGCGTGTTGGAATATCAAATTAAAATGCTAGAATAAATGAGTTTTAAAAGTGCAAGGGTCATAAGTTTAGAAGGTGAAGAGACATATGTTATGGAAGAATAAGAGTAACTTACTCATTTATGACATTTATCTTTATGGCATTAAAATAGGAGTTTAATTTGTGACTATTGGTATGCCTAGACGTTTTTGTTTTTGAAGCCTATATAAAGGGCTATTGTAATCCTTATTTGATATGAAGAGAGAAAATTGAAGAAATATAAGTGAGTTCTTCGTTTGAAAGAGTTCTAAGTTCGTAAACTTAAGAATTATCAGTTCTTGGATCAGGCATACACATTTTACAACAGAGAGCTATCAAAGCTCTTGCAAACATTGCCTTGGCTTGGCCAAACGCAATTGCAAAAGATGGTGGCGTTTATGAGCTGTCTAAAGTGATATTGCAAACTGATCCACCCTTGCCTCACGCCTTAAGGGAATCTGCTGCTTCTATTCTATCAAGCATTCTGCAGTACAGTTCTGAATTCTTCTTGGAAGTGCCTGTGGCTGTACTGGTTCAGTTGCTTCACTCTGGAACAGAAAATACTGTTGTCGATGCTCTAAATGCCCTGCTCGTGTTGGAAACTGATGACTCAACTAGTGCTGAAGCAATGGCTGAAAGCGGTGCTATTGAGGCTCTCGTGGAACTTCTAAGGACTCATCTCTGTGAGGAAACTGCAGCAAGATTACTGGAAACGTTGTTGAACGATATGAAAATTAGAGAAACAAAAGCCGCTAAATCTGCTATTCAACCATTATCCATGTATCGTCTAGACCCACAAACACAATCTCAGCAGGGTAGGCTGCTTGCAGCTCTTGCGCTGGGTGATCTTTTAATGAGGGTCTTGCTCGAACTACAGATTCTGTTTCGGCGTGCCGAGCTCTAGTAAACCTTCTTGAAGATAATCCAACAGAAGAGATGAAGGTGGTGGCGATTTGTGCGCTGCAAAATCTTGTAATGTATAGCCGTGCCAACAAGCGAGCTGTTGCAGAAGCAGGTGGTGTGCAGGTTGTGCTGGACATTGTCAATTCCAGCCAACCTGATAAGTCAGTTCAGGCAGCAATTTTTGTAAAACTTCTGTTCTCTAATAATACAATACAGGAATATGCTTCGAGTGAAACAGTTAGAGCTATAACTGGTATGGTCTCATGAAATATTCTTCCATGCCTTAGTTTCTTGAATTTTTAGTGCGTATATTCTTGGTTTAAGGTTTCTGAAAATATTTTTCAGAAACACGCATACAAGAAGTTACTATAACTTTGAATGGGCAAGCTGATCCAAAGATACGCATGTTCATGTTGGTTTTTAGCAGGTTGTTTAACTATTTCAAGCTTAAAATATGACAATATATTGAAAGGATGACCTTCGAGACCCTCCTGTGCGGTCGCTGAACAACGCGGCCTCACGGTGTTCCTGACGAGAGCGAGTACTACATGCAAGCACCTGGAGGACCCGACACGCGGCCTCGAGGCTACGACGTCTCCTACGTCACCAGGGTCCGAGCTCCCCGACCTCCTCTCCGCGGCGACGTCGGCAGGTCTCCGGTGACTGCCGCCTCCCCGTCCAGAACTGCTCTTCTCCGACTGCCGCCTCGGTCAACGACCTTGCCAACCAGCTGTACGGACGTCCCCTGGACGTCATCCTCGTCGACGGCCCAGGGGCTACACCCCGGCAGTCTTGGGGAGGATGTAGGGCGATCTTACCGCCGCATGTGATGGCGCCAGTCGGCGAGGGGGGCCACCGAGGTCTTGGTGCACGATTTCGACCGGGAGGTCGAGAGGGTCTGCAGCGAGGAGTTCCTCTGCGGGGAGAACTTGGTGGGGACCGCCAGGTTAGGGCTTCAGAGTTTTCTGATTCTGAGTAACGAAAAAAAAAAGAAAGGGTATAACTTTGTTAAATTAATAAAAAATGAAGGGTATTTTGGGTAGAGAAAGTTTTTCTAGTACTCCCTCTTTAAAAATATATATATACTAGTATTCAACCCGTGCTAAGCACGGCATCCTTTAATTTTTTTTTTTTGTCCGCAATTTTTTATCATCTAATATTTTTGTTATGTCACGTAAATTTAACATAATTTTGGACATTATATTACCGATAGGTATATGTGGATATTATAACTTAATTAAGCTTATCTCATATGGACAAAGTAAAAAGATTCATAAATAATGATCAAGTGATATCATGTTGATGCTTTAATATATGGCTTCCCCAGATGATCGCAACCAGAGACGCAATTTTCTTTTCGAAGAAAACTACAGCTAGCGAACAACAACAGATTCCAACCAGAGAAATAACTTTAAAAGAACATCATAGCCACACAACATACAACATCCATTAGTCTCAAGCTTCATCAATAAATGAACTTCATCGCTAACTTCATCAATAAATGATATTCAGTGTCATCTTTAAATTGTTGCCACTTAATCATATGCTCAAAAAATAATTATGGATGCTGCCACTCAAATTAATGAACATCATGGCTCCCATGTAAGTAATATGATAGCAACTTCTTTAGAGAAGTGACAACACTACTCAAAATTTTCTACGCCCTATGACTCAACAACAAAGATGTAGAAACTGGACACTATCATTCGACAATTTTGCTACAGCACTTACAAGTATAAGTAGGTATCGGATGACAGCTTATAGCCAGAAATCCCAGCTCAAAAAACAAAACTCATAATTGAGTAAGAAAACCAACAATTACATGAGCAGCAACAATCATCATAGTATGGAATATTTGTATTAGTACAAATAATTGTACTGACATAGATATGCATAATGGCATGAAATAAATATATTAGCATTTTATATTTCTATTAAATCCTCAAACAAATATGTTTAAATTTTATTGCCTAACACAATTTATGATTTATTGAAAAATAATTCACCTATGACAAATTATAGGAAGCGAAGAATTATAAAAAAACGTAAAGTAGGACAGACATGATTAGATCCATCTAAAAAGAACTCAATCTTTAAAACACTTGAAAATTACCAAAAAAAATCAAAGAGTAATCGATTAAAGAAATAAAAGATATAGTCAGAAAAAGAAAATCTTAAGCTTTAAAACACTTGAAAATTACCTGGAACAATTGAAATAGTAAGAAACACTTGAAATAGTCCGAAAAAGAAATAAAAGAAATAGTCAGAAAAAGAAAAAGGGAAAAGTCACTTGTGATGAAGAGTCTAAACATGATTGATATTAACCTGTTGAAGAAATATCTTGAACTACCTTCAGGAAGAAGAGGATTGATGAAGTGTAACCAGGATTTATTGTAACCTTTTGAAGAAAAATCTTGAACTTTGAGCATGCAGAAGATGATTGATGAAGAGAGTAAACAGGATGTGTGCGGATCTGCTTAAAACGATTGTTGGGAAGTTGATGCAATTGCAAAAAGGGTCTTAAGGTGATCAACGTGTCTGAAGATAAGCATCGTCTCCAATTCCTTTAGTATAGCTGTGGCATCAGTTCATCATTTAATCTGGCATTTAACCTGTCAAATGTGATATATGCTGTTATTTCTGCTCCTGTAAACATGTATAAATTATTGAATAAAACAACAAATGTTTTACATATACAGATAAAAAATAAGTAATCTATTGCAATTACATTTAACAAAAGTATCCAAATTAAGTTACAACATACATCTTAAACCTTTGCATAAGCACAAATACATAATATGATTAAACATAACCAACACAAATATGACCACTAAACTATGTTTGATAACTCCTCAAAGTGGTTGTCAAGTCCTCCAGAAGTTAGTTTTCTTTTCCACTGCTTCTATTGGTTCTTCTTTTCTTATTTCCTACATTAAGAACATTGAAGTTGAATCATTAGTTTACATTTGAACATATTAGTTACTATTGTAAAATAATTCTCATCATTACAAATATTGAATCATTACAAATATTAACGTTGCATCGTATATGACTTCTGGACAATTAGGATGATGGTCCTCATCATTGCTCTCCATACTCCTGAAACTGAGTTCTATTCGTATGTGAAGGTCTGTATATATATGTATAAGAACATATATGCATATCAATAGCATACATTCTTACTAATCAAGCTTTATGGACAATAATAAGAACAAAAACCAAAAGAAAATATACTTGTAGATAAGTTATATAGAAATATAAAATCATATATCATATTTATGGAGAATATGATAACTCAGTATTACATCTGCTAATCGTATAAAACAATAAGATAGTCATAATCCAAGCATCTATGTACATATGATGAACTTATCTCAATATGTATTAATTAAACAGTTAACCAAAAAGAAGATTCCAATTAAACACAGATTTTAATAGAAAACAGAGTCATAATGCAGTATGTTTTGACATTATAACAACATTCTTCAAGACAATAGGTAAAAAAGAATATGAATTTGATAATAGACTTACAATGATGAACTCCTAGTGTAATCTGAGATATTGACCAGTACATTGAGAACACGATGTTGCACTGCAGAATATAATCATATTAAGGCAATAAGTTTATATAAAATGAGATCATCCATTTTTCTCTAAAGTAAAATTGATAATTACAATGATCATAAATTGTCCGTGTTCATTACTTATAAAATGTGCATGTTGGGTAGTTTTAGCCTGCAGATGGTGATTCAACATTTCATCATAAATGATAGGGATGTGTTTGTTATAAGTATTAGCATGTTCATATTCTTTTTTAACTATCGGGTTAAATTAAGTTGTTATAATGAGATTTAAATATAAATGAATTCCTTTAATAATTTGGGTAACCAGGAAGATTTCAATTTAACACAGATGGACAAAGAATAGCTAGTACATATAATCCAGTATCCATTTACATGAAAATGAAAATGGATTGGAATTTATATATATACTTTATATCTGGTCAGTCACTCAATGAAATTGAAATTGAATTCAATGTGCTAATGTTTGGATGACAATTTTGGGAGGACTATGAAAGTAATAGTTCAGAACTTAATGAAATCTTGAACTATCAGGCGGAATAGAAACTTGAATATGAGCTCAAACATGTAATCTAATTACTAATGGCTAATTTCAAATTTAAGCAAGAACCTGTATAAATTAATGACATTAAATCTTTTAAATTGTTGAGTTACAAAAGTGTAAAAAAAGCTAAAGCTCAGATAAAGTACAGAATGTCATATTCTTTTTTTATTCATCTAAACATATCAACGAAATTCATAACTATATAATGAGTTTGTTTATAATTCAATTCAACACAGATGGACAAAGAAAAGCCAGTACATATAATCAAGTATTTATTGACTTGAAAATTTAACAGGAATTCAATCTGCATGTTGTCCATGTTGGATATGGATGTGCATGTTCCGCATGTTCAGGAAACATTTACTGGAGATGAGCTTTGATGATTTAATAAAATTCATGGATTCAGGTTTAAAAAAAGCAACTCAATAACTTGATTTCGGTTCCTAAACTCTTCACTTTTCAATACAGATGCATAAAAAGAATGACCAGGCAAATTTTTAAAAAAAATGAATTGCAGATGTAATTTTTTTGTACAAATCATACTCAAGTTAGCTTGCTTTACATGTCATAGGCATTAAAAGTTTTAAATAGGAAAATCAAATATATAAATTTGAAGGGAGCTTATAGTATTATACTTGAATTATTTAAATCTTAAGTTATATTGTATGATGAGCACAAGGTGAAATAATTTTCACAGCATGTTTTATCAGGTAGAAGCTGAAATTTATGAATATTTCACAGCATCAATTTTAACAAAATCATTGACGAAATCTTTAGCTATCATGCGGAAGAATAAATTGCAGAAGAAATCGATAAGATATTATTAATAGGTCTTTAATATCTAGGATAATAAAGAAAATTATTACCTGAAGAAGAACTCTCGCTGAGACCATACGAAAGATGAACTCTGAAGCGATGGAAGAAGCGGTGGAATGTGGCCCTCTTTAGCATAGAAATTTAGCAACCTGTCCTCAGATTTCAAAACGTGGCTAATTTGAACGAAGGAAAAAAAATAGCGGTATCGGTTTTGAAGGAAAATCGGCAGCGGTAAAAGGATGTGGTTTGAAGCCTTATCGGTGTATAATAATTGGACCAAAATGAACGGTTGTGTTTAAGCGGTTGGATGAGTTTTTTGTTTTTTATTGTCGTTAACACAGATGGACATCATAAAGCCAGTACATATAATCAAGTATTTATTGACATGAAAATTTAAATGGAATTCAATCTGCATGTTGTCCATGTTGGATATGGATGTGCATGTTCCGCATGTTCAGGAAACAGTCCCTGGAGATGAGCTTCGATGAGTTAATAAAATTCATGGATTCAGGTTTAAAAAAAGCTAGTCAAGAGCTTGTTTCAGGTGATTAAACTCTTCAGTTTGCAATAAAGATGCAAAAAGATTGACCAGATAGCCTTTGTATATTAAAGAAAATTTGCGAAAGAGAAACTTTGGCGGATCAAACATTAACTCCTAGTTTCATCAGTAATAGCGATGTGGCTTATCAAAATATTTGGCCATTCTTGAGATCGTAGATAACCCTACTTTTTTCTCACTGCAGGTAACAATTTGCATATATCTACTTCGTTTTATTGCAGATGAACCAATCACAGAGGAGGGAATTGAAGCGTGTATATAATGATAAATGCTAATAAACAGGTGGGATAAAATCCATCCTACCTTCATCAGTTCATAATTATATATAGCTAAGCATCAATATAACTGTATTTAGGCACTTTAGGGATCAAAGAGCAGATTACATATAAATTGCTGGTGGTTCAAATTTTTATCCACAGAAGCTGGTTTTATGAAGCTAGATCTACGCTAGAAATGTTCAAGAATTATTGTTTTTACACATCAATTTCTACATCTAAGCAATGCAGCTTTTTGACTGGAATACATTCCTTGACATTTAGTTATTTTGGACAAGCAGAACCATTGTTCCTTAATGACAGCAACAAAAAAAAAATGGTCAGCAATCTCGAGAGAACATTAACTTTCAATATATACTTACAATGATGTACTCCTTACGGACTGAGATATTGATCAGTACTTTGGAAACACGATGTTGCACTGTAGAATAGATTCATATAAAAACAATTAGTTCTATTAAACTCAGATTATGACATTTTTTATAAAGTACAATTGAATATAATCACATGGTAAGAGATTGAATTATATATACTGGCATTAATAGATATAATTTTGTAACTAAATTGTATTTACTTACATTAAAAGATTTTTTCCTTCATAGATATTGATCAGTAATTGAAGATGAGCTCAAACATATAATCTAATTACTGAGGGCTCATTTCAAGGCTAAGCAATAACCTGTATAAATTAATGACATTAAATCTTTTAAATTGTTGAGTTACAAAATTGTAAAAATAGCTGCTAAAGCTCAGATAAAGTACAGAATGTCATAATCTTAGTTTTATTCACCCATGACATGTCGACGAAATTCATAACTGATTATAGTGAGTTTGTTTATAATTCAATTATAAACAGTTGGACAAAGAAAAGTCAATACATATAATCCATTATTTATTGACATGAAAATTGAAATGGAAGTCAATACATTAAATCTCCTGGAGATGAGCTTGGATGAGTATATAAAATTCATGGATTCAGGTTTTAAAAAAGCAACTCAATAGCTTGTTTTAGGTGCCTAAACTCTTCAGTTTGCAATACAGATGCATCTAGAGAATTACCAGGTAAATTTTAAAAAAAAACTGCAGATGGAATTTTTTTGTACAAATCATACTCAAGTTAGTTTGCTCTACATGTCATAGGCATTATAAATTTTAAACAGGAAAATCAAATATATAATTTGGAAGGGACCTTATAGTATTATACTTGAATGATTTAAATCTTAAGTTATACTGTATGATGAGCACAACGTGGGGAAAAAAATTAAACCTATGAAAGATAAATACAGAAATGTTTGTAGCATAAATCCTAAGTATAAAACATCGATGTGAAGAAATTTTAAAGCAAAATAAACATACTCAATTCAGTTTGCTCTACATGTCATGGGCATGTAAAAATTTAAATAGGAAAATCATTTATATACATTAGAAGGGAACTTATATTACTATACTGTTTATTAAAAAATTTATAGTGTATGATGAGCACAACGTGGGAAAAAAATATTATACGTATGACAGAAAAATACAGGAATGTTTCTAGCATAAATCCTCAGTATAAATCATCAATGTGAAGAAATTTTCAAGCAAAAAAAACATACGCAAGTCTGTTTGCTCTACATGTCATAGGCATGAAAAATTTTAAACAGGAAAATAAAATATATAAATTAGAAGGGAACTTTTAGTACTATACAGTTTATAAAAAACTTTCTAGTGTATGATGAGCACAACGTGGGAATAAATTTATACCTATGAAGGAAAAATAGAGAGATGTTTCTAGCATAAATCCTCAGTATAAATTTTTCAGTGTGAAGAATTTTTCTAGCCAAAAAAAACATACAAAAGTCAGTTTGCTCTACATGTCATCAGTATAAATCATAAGTGTGTAGTAATTTTCACAGCATGTTCTATCAGGTAGTAGCTCAAATTTAAGAATAATTCACAGCATCAATTTTAAGAAAATCATTGACGAAAACTTGAGGTATTATGCGGAAGAGTAAATTGCAAAAGAAAACATTAAGATACTATTAATAGGTATTAAATTTCTAGGATAATGAAGAAAATTATTACCTGAAGAAGAACTCTCTCTGAGGCCATACGGAGGATGAACTCTGTTCTGATTTCTCGCAAAAGAGGAAAGCTGCTCAACTTTGTAGAAGCGGTGGAACGTGGCCATCTTTAACAGTGAATTTAAGCAACGTGTCCTCAGAAATCACAACGTGGCTAATTTGAACGAAGGAAAAAAAAACGGCAGCGGTTTTGAAGAAAAGGCGACAGCGGAAAAAATAGAAGATGGGTCTTTAATTGGCCCAAAATAGAACGTGGGCCTCTTTATTTAGTTTTTTATATGAAAAAATACGTGGAAAACCAAAATTTTAGGAAAATACGTGGAAAATAAAAAAATTACTGTTCATCCATAGGTTTTCCTTTAGTTATAAAGGAAAGTAGATATATACTAAAAAAAGTTTTTGATATGGAGTAAAAGGGACTGTTTATTGCGTTGGAAGCACTTACATTTATTTGCATTCGGATTCTAGTTGGAGTTATTACAATATGCATCAGCTTGACAATGAATAAATTGATCACATTCTCTCTCCAATATCGTAAAAATTGTGATTTAAAAAATTGATCTTTCTACTACTTTTTGAAAGCCTAGAGATCCAAATCCTTTTCATTTTCTGCTAATTCTTAAATAATAGATTGTGAGTGTACGTGGAAAAGAAAATTAACATTTTTTTCTCTCTCACTTTGTATTTCACTTTGGGCTTTCCCCGGTTTTATTTCACTTGTAGTTTCTTCTTTGACCTAGCTGGATGGGCGAATAAAGTGGATAGCACCTTGGCTAATGGGGACCTAATCCCATTTGTTTGAGTTCTACCATGATTTCCCAAAGAGGACACATTTTCAATCATGTATAATTATTCATTATTACATACAAATGATCATGATTTATTTCTAGTACGTATAACTAACATCATATCATTCAGGAATGGTACTGATTTCCTATTTACATTCAAAACAAATCATAATGGTTTGTTAAATGATAACATTCTGGTGTAAATGTTACAACTTGTACATATCCATATATTAAGAATCCTACAACATCCTCCTAGATCAAGAGTATTTGTAGAAAGGTATGATTGTGTATATTGTCTGGAGAAAGGTCAAAGCCAAGAGGAAAATTGCTGCCAAAAGCGAGATGAACACCCAATGATTGCTAAGGTAAGTATGGGTGAAAATTGCACGCCACTTATGCCGCCTCCTATTGTAGTAATTTTCGATCTTCATGTTCACATTCTCACTGTGGACATGGATCTTATCCAAGAGAGGCAATCCCTTGGTGAGGCGATTGAAGAGGGAAGCGATATCGCCATCACTTCCACTCGTGCAAGACACTATCTTTGCCTCCCTAAGCAGCGCCACATCATTGTCTGCGTCAATAATATTATCCATAAATAATACATAGTCACTGCACAATCTGCACCTTTGTGTATATGCTCGTAGGCAGTATAATTGAGAAACATGTTCTCGGTGTTACTGTGGCAGCATAGATAAGGGAGCTTCAAAACTCCGTTTGTGAAGCTGATGTCGCTGTAACAGATGCTGTCAGCTAGCTTGAAGCTCACCCCTGCTTGGACGAGCTCTGTGGCGGTGCAAACAGTCAACGCACGGTCATGGATGTAGTTCCCTTCCGCAGACATTTTCTTTTTGGAAATGTCGAGAAAGTGCAGGCCCTTTCCTCTAATGGTTTCCAGTTCGGTGTCGAGGACGTCGTCACAAATTTTTATGAAGTTCTTAGAATCCTCGACGTGTCGATCAGTCATTTGTTAGCTCTTAGCAAAAGTTAAGGTCTAAAAAAATGACAAAACATATCTCAACTGAATCAAGAGTTAGATTCGCAAAAAAGTGACAAAGTTCAGTTTGCAGGAGGTGACCAGGTTACCTCGTGACCTCCAATTTCAATAAGGATAACAAGAAGCAGGAGCGGCAGCTGATTTTCAATCCTGCGCATGTCCATCCACAGGCCACGATTCATGTATGGCCTCAGGAGCTCGTCATTGCCCCCCACCATCATTTGAAGAAAGAAGCATTCATCAAGGATCATCAGATCCAAGAACCGGTCCTCGTCCGTCGTCCACAGCTCCTCCAGGCTATCGTACGCGTCCATGAGGTCCCGGATTTGAGGCCTTAGGGACTCCCTCACCTCGTCGAGAGTCTTATTGGCCCGCTCAAGGTAGTGGGCGAGAGCCGCGTACTTCTTGCGCTCCATGGGGTTGAGGTGGGCCTTGCCGTGGTGGTAAGGCCCCAGAGAGACGAGCTGGGGTGTGTAGGCTGTGTAGTTGAGCTCCCTCAAGATGTTCGGCACCCTGTAGATGTAGTGCTTCTTTCGTTTCTCTATCTCGGTCTCAGAGTTGATACTTTGGAGCTCTTCAAGGTCGATGACCCATTGCTTTTTAGCTGACTTCTCTCCCATCTTCCTCTTTCTTTAAATTTTGAGATGAAAATTAATGGTGTTGCTGGTTAGAAATAATGATAAAGGTGAACCTAGAGGAAAAGCTCACAATAAAAGGATGGGAAGTGAAATTTGAAAAGGACTTCAAGCGAGAGACCTTTTTTTAGAGGTAACATTATGTTTGCTATTTTGTTTGATCAATAATTGTCAATTTGTCCATTTCCTTGCCATTTTCTAACAAAACTAGCCTACACATATAAAGCATAGGGCTGTAACCATAAATAGCACAACAGGCAGTTTGCGTCTCTCAGAACAAATTAAAAAGGCAGTGTATATAGCCATATAGCTTTAATGATGAAAGAAAAAAAATTAATATTGGTAACATAGGCTGTCACATCATTGCATTTTTCTATAGATGCCCATGACTCTCACCATGAAATCAAATGGTAGCCCACAGAATAGAGAAATATAGAATGCAATTCCTTCATGCGTTTCATATGCAACACAACAAATTAACGGTTTCATATGCAACACGACAAACGGCTAGCTGTCAACATGCACACAAATAGGTTTACATGTGAGCGTTTCATATGCACCTAACTCTTTGCAGATCAGTCAAGACGAAAACAGGAGAGCTATAATGACATCCATATATATAGGAGATATACATGATCAAAGGTATTATAAAACTCATATGGTAGAACAAATCTGATTTTCAATGGGAGGGGTTTTCTGCAAGAAATTAGGTAGATTTATGCGTTAAATGAACCTTTTAATTGAGTTTAATTTTATGCAAGAAATCAGATTAATATTTTAAACTAATTTTTTAATTATGAATTAGTAGGTGAACAGTGAAGGGAACAAGACATCTCGGTTGCTCAACTAATTAACCAACTATATCTTCGGGGCACACACGACATGCTGCATGAAAACCACGGGCATGCTCATATGTGCAATATTAGATATTGTTCTATATATGCCCAAAATGAACGAAGAAAATATCAAGTTAGGCAGCAGACACACTATACCACATACAAATTAACCATCTAATTAATTAGTTGACTGGCGCAAGAGCAAATTAATCTGTAAACAGATGCACAAATTTTAACTCACCAGCCACCAACGAAGTTGGTCAAGAAGGAGAGAGAGAGAGAGAGAGAGCGCACGAGCTCCGTGGCAGGAAGTTGTTGGAATGCGGTTGATGGAGACTGAGGTGAATCACCAAACGAACCCGGAAGGGACCGATCGAAGTGAAGCGGCTGAAGGAGAGGTCGAGGTGGGTGAGTGCCGGGCTCGAAGCGAGGTGGGCCCCCGATCGAGGAGGTTGCGGGAGAGGTTGAGGTGGGTTTATAAGGAGGGGGAGGAGGAGAAGAAATTAAGGGGAGGGAATGGAGCCGGAGAGGAGACGTCGAGGGAAGGGAGGCGGGCGGGAGAGGAGAGACCACGAGATGAGAGGTTGTAGAGGGGATCTGGGAGCAGGGAGGAGTTGGTTTGGGGGAGTTGGTGACTGAGCTGAAGGTTGGATGATGGGAGGGCAGGACCATGAGCTTCACATTTATAGCGTGCACCACGCGAGCAACCGCGCCTTTAGTGTGAACAGCTAGACCTGATCTCAAGGTTGTCTTTGACCATTATGTGAACAAACCAGTACCTTTGGTTCGTTTCCCTGTCTCTATACTGTTGAATTAATCTTGTAACGTTATGCATTTCATAGGTTAATTAGTTGGTTACTTAGTGGGTTAAGTGTTTAGTTAGTTAGTTACAGGTTTCTTGTGCACGTTGTGCACGTTTGTAAGTTAGAAAAACTGTTTTGTATTTGTAGTTTTATATGACAGTAATGAATGTGTGTGGATTTAGAACGCCTGAAAATTGGTTTTCTTTCCTCGTCACAAGTGTGTGTGTGTTTCCAGTAAATTGAAGAATCAATTCCAACATTTGGTATCAGAGCTTGGTTGGGATTTGATGCCAAAGATCATGCCGGCGGACTCAACACCTTCAAGCAGCGGATCTAGCAACACAGTGACGTTGAAGACAACTGGAAGAGAAGGGACAGTCTCTCTTCAGTACCCGCTGCTCACAAAGAGCAACTACTCAGCATGGGCGATCAATATGAAGGTGTATATGCGTGCACAAGGTGTATGGGATGCCATTGAGCCCGATCACCCCAACGATGAGGTAGAAATGCGGAAGGATCAGATGGCTCTTGCTGCCATCTATCAAGCCATCAGCGAGGAGACACTTCTCGTGTTGGCTGAGAAGGAGACGGCCAAGGAAGCATGGGAGATGTTGAGGACAATGCACATGGGCGCTGAGCGTGTCAAGGAAGCAAAAATTCAGAATCTGAGAAGTGAGTTTGAGGGTCTTCGCATGCGTGAAGTGGAGACAGTTGATGATTTTGGTGCAAAGTTAACCACTATTGTCAATAAGATTCGTGCATTGGGCGACAAGATAGATGAGGCTTATGTCGTCAAGAAGCTTCTTCGTGCAGTCCCTCCCAAGTTCCTTCAAATTGCATCTACCATTGAACAATTTGGCAACCTCAACACGATGACAGTTGAGGAGGTCATCGGATCGCTCAAGACCCATGAAGAACGATTGCGTGGCTATGGTGAAAATGAGGATGAACAAGTTCTGTTGACAAGTGAAAAGTGGAAAGGGAAACAAGTGAAAGGAGGAGGAGAAAGCTCGTCCAACTCATACAAAGGACGAGGAACGAGTGGTGGCCGTGGTCGTGGCCGTGGGTGTGGCCGTGGCCGTGGTCGTGGTCGCGGGCATGGTGAAAGTGGTCGATGGAATGAATCAAATCACAGTGAGAGAAAGTTCGACAAGTCCAAGGTAAGGTGCTACAATTGTCAAAACTATGGGCACTTTGCCTCGGAATGTCGATCTAAGAAGAAGGAGGAAAAGGCACACTTTGTGGAGGCACAAGAGGATGATGAAGAACCAGCACTCTTAGCGACAGAAATTTGTGAGTGTGAGAATCATAGGGAGATCACAACAGAGGAAGTGATGCTCTATGAGGAGAAAGTGAAGCCAAGGTTGAATGAAGAAGAAGAAGTGGTGCACGACAACTCAGGTTGGTTTCTTGACACTGGAGCAAGCAATCACATGACGGGTTGCAAGGAGCTGTTTTCAGAACTAGATGAAAGCGTGACTGGGAAGGTCAAATTTGGCGATGGTTCTGTTGTGAACATTCGAGGAAAAGGCACTGTGATGTTTCAGTGTCAAAATGGTGAGCATCGATTCTTTACAAATGTTTATTTCATACCTAGACTGCGTAGCAATATAGTGAGTTTAGGTCAATTGGATGAGAATGGATGCAAAACTGTGATAGAAGATGGTTGTTTGTTGGTGTATGATAGAGCTAGAAAGCTGCTGGCAAGAGTAAGAAGATCAAGAAATAGATTGTATATTCTAAACTTGAAAACAACTCACTCAGTGTGTTTGTTGGGGAAATTAAATGAAGTTGAATGGCTGTGGCATGCACGTTATGGCCATTTAAACTTTCAGGCATTGAGGAACATGACCAAGAAGGGAATGGTGATAGGAATGCCTATCGTTGATCACATAACTCAAGTGTGTGATGGGTGTGTCATTGGCAAACATCATCGTACACACTTTCCCCAAAGCGCAAGTTTTCGAGCTGAGACCCCGCTCCAACTCATGCATGGTGACTTGTGTGGCCCAATCACTCCTACAACACCTGGAGGTAACAAATATTTTATGTTGCTTGTTGATGATTATAGTAGGTACATGTGGGTTGTGATGCTCAAGAACAAAGATGAAGCATTACATGCATTCAAGAAGGTGAAGGCAAGTGCAGAGATGGAAGCTAATACTAAGCTGAAGGCATTCCGAACCGATAGGGGTGGGGAGTTCACCTCTAAAGCATTCACCCAGTACTGTGAAGACTCAGGCATCAAGCATTTCCTCACAGCCCCATACTCTCCGCAGCAGAACGGCGTTGTCGAGCGAAGAAACCAAACTGTTTTAGGAATGGTGAGAAGCTTATTAAAAAGCAAACATGTACCAGCTACATTTTGGGGAGAAGCTGTGAAGACAGCAGTATATATATACTCAATCGAGCTCCAACAAAGAGTGTGGAAGGAGTGACACCATATGAGAGGTGGACTGGTCGGAAACCGAAGGTTCAACATCTTCGAGTTTTTGGCTGTTTGGTGCACGTCAAGACTGTGAGTCCATACACAAAGAAGCTGGCTGATAGGAGTGCGCCAATGGTGTTTCTGGGTTATGAACCAGGATCAAAAGCTTACAGAGTTTATGATCCTAATTCAAAGAAGTTGAGAATAAGCAGGGACACAATATTTGAAGAGGATAAGGAATGGAATTGGGGGAATAGACAAGGAGGAGAATATTCTGGAGCTCATTCATGTGGCACGTTCACCGTGCATTATGAATCTGAGAAAGGTGAAGACGCGCAGAACTTTGATGAGCAATCAAGCGGGCAATTCTCTGAAGGTGCGACTTCGCCTCACACTCCCATGAATCATAATCATGCACAGGATGCTGGAGAACCATCAACAAGCTCAGAGAGGCCTCGCAAGTATCGTTCTCTACAAGATGTGTACAATGACACAGTTGAGATGGATGAGGAGGTAGGGCTATGTTTCTTATCTTTAGAAGAACCTGCAACTTATGAAGAAGCAGCAGGCAATGAAAGTTGGAAACAAGCCATGGCGGAAGAAATTGCAGCAATTGAGAGGAATAACACATGGGAATTTGCAGAATTACCAAAAGGGCACCGTGCTATTGGTTTGAAATGGGTATATAAGGTGAAGAAGAATCCTGAAGGAGAAATAGTAAAACACAAAGCTCGACTCGTGGCGAAGGGTTATGTACAAAAACAGGGAGTGGATTTTAATGAGGTATTCGCTCCAGTTGCACGGCTTGAAACTGTAAGGCTCTTGATTGGTCTGGCAGCACAGGAGAACTGGGAAGTACATCACATGGATGTAAAATCTGCATTCCTAAATGGCGAGCTAGAAGAAGAGGTGTATGTAGCACAACCTGTTGGATTCGAAGCAAAGGGCCATGAGGGGCAAGTGCTGAGGCTGAAGAAGGCGTTATATGGACTGCGTCAAGCACCTCGAGCATGGAATTCGAAGCTTGATAAGTGCTTACAGTCATTGGGGTTCATCAAGTGTCCTATGGAGCATGCTGTGTACAAGCAAGAACTGGGGGGTGAAATCCAAGTGATTGGTGTCTATGTAGATGATCTTATTATTACTGGGTCAAGTGTCGAACATATTGCAAAGTTCAAAGAGCAGATGAAGAGGCTATTCGACATGAGTGATCTTGGATTATTGAGCTACTATTTGGGCATTGAAGTGAAGCAAAATTCACATTCCATCACACTGTCTCAGTCAGTATATGCTCTAAAGATACTTGAGAAGCTTGGAATGGCCGAATGCAATCCCTGTCAAATCCCCATGGAGCCGAGACTTAAAATGAGTAAAGTGAATATCAGTCCCCCAGTTGATGCATTTCTGTATAGAAGTGTCATAGGGAGCCTGAGGTACCTAGTCAACACAAGACCTGATTTAGCCTACTCAGTTGGAGTAGTCAGCCGATACATGGAAGCGCCCACAACGACTCACATGACTGCTGTGAAGCAAATACTGAGGTATGTGCGTGGCACTCTAAACTTTGGGTGTTGTTATGACAGGAAGGAGCATATGGGAAAACACTTGATTGGGTATAGCGATAGTGATTTGGCTGGTGATATTGATGATCGGCCATGACAGAAGCAAGCACATTGATATCAAGTATCATTTTATTCGTGATTGTGTTCAAAAGGAAGAAATTGAAGTGAAGTATGTGAAGACTGAGGATCAACTGGCCGATATTCTGACAAAGCCACTTGGTCGTCAGAGGTTTGTCGAGCTGCGTGAGAAAATAGGACTGAAGGATGTGAAGAAGATGCAACAAGATTAAGGGGGTGAATGTTGAATTAATCTTGTAACGTTATGCATTTCATAGGTTAATTAGTTGGTTACTTAGTGGGTTAAGTGTTTAGTTAGTTAGTTACAGGTTTCTTGTGCACGTTGTGCACGTTTGTAAGTTAGAAAAACTGTTTTGTATTTGTAGTTTTATATGACAGTAATGAATGTGTGTGGATTTAGAACGCCTGAAAATTGGTTTTCTTTCCTCGTCACAAGTGTGTGTGTGTTTCCAGTAAATTGAAGAATCAATTCCAACATATACCACCAACTCCATGTTGTCTTTGCCCTTCTTGTCCATGGTCCCAAGTCAGTATTCTCATTCCAT